CTGTAACAGTAACTTCTATCCTAAACAAATTAATGAAATGGTTAATACATGAACTCATGTAGCAAAAGTGAAAAAAAAAGGTGAAAATAAAAGTGACAAAAAAAAAGAGATACTGATTTAATTCAACATGCTATTATTTCTTTTAATGAGATTGCAAGAGTGAATAATCACATTTATGCAGCTTACTTGGATTTCTCAGTAGTGTTTGTCTTAATACTGCACAGTATTGTTATTTAAAAATAGTATGTTACAAAACCAATAAAATTATTTTAAACTGACTGAAATCTAGGTGATAGATCTCAACGTGTAACTATGAATGAGATACTACTGAGAAAAAAGATAGATTTCCAAAAATTCCTAACCTAATGCTGTCCCATATTTGTACATTGACTTGAAGGAGGCCATAGCACCACGACCGAAAATGATGCAGAAGAAGCAAAGGTGGAGAATGGTAAACAATAGTAAATGCCATTTTCATAAAGCAGTAAGATTTTTAGGAAAGCCGCAGAAATTTGACCAAACTTGGGGTAGTTTGCCTAGAAATAAAGGTGTCAGGTTATTTTAGAGAAAGAGGGATAATATATATACAAGACCCACCGAGGTTCAAGGTTTGGAAGTCAGAGCTAGACAAATCCAACTTCATGATTAGAGAGCCTCAGGATGCAGAGGGATTCTTTCAGACTTGAAATTAAGATTGAACATTGCCCCAAAGATACAGTGTAGTTGAATTAATACTTCATTTGACTTCATAAATCAATTATAGAGTTGTGTTGTGCAGCCTGTCAACTGTAGTGACCAAAACAGAATGCTGGAATATGGTTCATTAGAAGGAATTAAATTTCTTATTTTTAGAGACCTTTACCAAGTCTTATGATGCATATGCATCAGTTTTTCCCATCTCCACCATGAAATACTGCTGTTTTCATCTTTAGGTTATCTAAGGACCATATATTAAAAACTGTATATCAGAAGTGGTCAGTAATATTAGTAATAGCTTAAACTTCCCTCCATCAACACTTACAGGCTAAAAGTAGTATTTGGTACGCAGAGCAAGAGCCACACTGAAAATATACCTTGGCCTCAAAAGCCTGTTTCTCAGTAGCTGAGTAATACGTAACTGTAATAAGACATCAGCAACACAATGAAACTTCCAACATATGTACACCCTGATTCTAATGTTAATTAAACACATTATCAGGAAGAGGGGAATCAAACTGTAGACAAGTCTAGTGTGTGTAGATAATAACAAAAGTGCCCTAGAGGAGTCCGATCCATCCTTAATCTCGTATTGTTCTGTCTGAGATCAAAAAAAAAATCCATACCCCTCAGAAAAATGTTAGTGCACTCACTAATAATGCACCACTGGCAGGTTTAAGGTGGTGTGATTTCTATCATCCTTTGGAATATATGAAATAAAGGTACTTTTCAACAATATCTACATCATCAGGAATCAAAAACTAGACGTACTGCGGCTGATGGTCACCGTGTACACATACACAGACCTCGAACTTGTATGTAGCCTTTTAGGAGCTGAACCTGAGATGGGAAAAAAACCTGAGTCCTATATGTGCGGTGAGACTTGGCTAGGGTCACTAAGAAGATTAATACAATGACAAAGGCAGGATTTAGGATGGCCATCTTCCTATTAGTCTCTGGTTACCTGAGAAATCTGAATCCAGTAACTGAGAAGCCTTCGTGCAGCTGGTAAGCATTTCCTCACATCCCTTCCAAGGCAATTGAAGAACTGTGAATATGACTTTTAATGTTTGCTTGCTTCGGTACAGAAGGAACCCGTGCAACCTGGCAAGTAATGCCTTCCCTTATTTTGCCTTGCCTTGCCTTCCCTGCCCTTTCCTGCCCTTCTGTGGTCTGCCTTACCCTGAGTAATTTATTCACTGCATCAGTGCATTTAAGTCATCAGAATGGACAATATTGCTTTATATCTTCAAGCCAAAAAAGAAAGTACTTTTTTAGGTCAACCCAACTTTCTGTATTCTCATTTTGAGACAACAAGAGGTCACCGTAAATAATTTTGGACTGTGTAAATCGTTAAGCCATTTCACCTTAAATATTGCATTGTACTGTAATTAGCAATACAAGCTATTTAATATAAAGTATGTTAAATTAGAGGTAAGTTTTTTTTTATTACAAATTGCAGAATTTCCTATTAGATAAAATGATAAAGTAAAATGATACAGTAACATGAGAGGTTCCGGTATTTGTTCTGAAAGCAAAGTATGTGTGGCATACAGAAACATCTTTGGTGATGAGATAACATGCATCAATCCTGTTGTCCTCATATAACTCCACACAGCGATTATTTAAGTGATTCAGAAGAGTATCTTCCTTTTTCATATGCAGCAATTTGTGTGATAAAAGGGCACTGGAGTAATAAAAAGCGTATATTTCACTGGTGGTTATGAAACACTGCGTGCCTGAAAGAAGTACAGTGAGTAATGCCAAATGGCATTTGCAAACTTAAACAGTCACATATCTTGTAGAAAACAGTCCAACATACATGCCAACAAACCAGTCTGGGGCAAAGGACTAGTGAGAACCCATGCAGTTTGATTACTGTCCAGAACGACTCAAACTTAAAAGAAACATAAAAGAAAATTACCTGAGAATGTATTTTTAAAATATATAATGTTATTTTCCCGCTTTAATAACAAATGACAGATGTTCAATTGAAAACATTATTGAAGTTATTTAAAAAAAAAAAACAAAAAACCCCACCATTTGTTTGACTCCTTTAGTATTTTTAAAGGAATTTTAATTTGATTTGTTCATTTACACCACTTTCAGTGAAGCAAACATATTTACTTGTTTACTTTTCAAACAGAACCACAGAGAAAGGTGTATTAAGCACTTGTTTAAGGAACACTGGCAAATTCTAGCTGGGAGAAAACAAAGCTAACTATTCAAAATTTCTATACAAGGATATTGGAAAGCAACAAAAGTATGGAAAACATTGTTCCGTTTAACAAATTATCGAAAAAAAATCTTGTAAAATTAAATATGCAAAGTGAAGAATACTCTCCCAAGTGAAGAGCAGGAATTTATCGATAGATGTGTCAAAGTAGTAATAAAGTAATACACTAGGAAAAGGACAAAAAGTTAAGAACTTCATCCCTGAAGGCAAAAAAATGACCTAATGGGTACAAGCCATCACCACATAGAATGTAAATATTACAATAAAGTTAAATACCTTGTCAACAATTCGGTACTAAAGTTATGCTTTCCAGTTTAGCTGTGTCTCTTTGGAAGATTTGGCTTAAAAAAGAGACAAACAAAAAGCTGGCAGTATGCAGATTAGGAAGAATCAAACAAAGAAATGTAGGTGGGAATTTGAGAAGCTCCCAGCTCCCCACGGGGACTTGCAGATGGGCCCGGCTCAGTACAGGGGCTTCGACAGCCTGAAGGAGCCCTTGCTCCCTTTCATTTGCAACGAGCTGTTCTGAGCTGGACTAGTTCATCGGTGTGCAAAGAAGCTGCAGATACGATGTACTGGTACACTTCGGGCGGGTGTGCTGTGTTTTTGCATAAAGCATGACGTTTTGTGCCCGTGGACAGTTCTGTCTTACTGTGGCCCCAGTGCTGGTCAGTGGTATGGCTCCTAACTTCTGGTGTCCTTGCCTTCAAAACAAAAATCCCTCAATGATGTGCTACATGCTGAGGTTACTGTGAATCCAGAGCCGCTCAGCGCTGCCCAGTGAGAAATGCTGACACGTGGAATCTCTCCTAATTCCCGATCCTTTTGGGGCTATGAAGTATGTCCTAGCTCTTAGTTTCACAGCCTGCTTGGACATTCTCATAAAAGTAGACGTCTATACCTGAAGCTGCTTTTTTTTTTTTTTTTTTCCTTTTTTAAATGGGAAGCTGGGAAGGGTTCCTTTTGGCTGGTAGCTCCAGGACCAGAGCTCTCACCTGGGAACTAGAGAGACGTGGTGGTACTGCCTTCTCTGGCTGAAGGTACTCCCCGGCAGACCAGTCTGACCACAAAGCTACTGGCTGTTTAGAATTTAAAAAGAAAGCTCTCATCCCTTCCCGTTGAGCTCTGTATTGCATATTTAAAGGTCTTTCAGCCTGAAAAAAGCAGCATGAAAAGCAGCAGGACTCCGCAGCCCAGCAGAGCAGTCATGGGCTGTGGAGAGGGAAGATGAGCGCTCCGGGCACCAGCAGGTCCCTCTCCCGGCTTCCCCCAGGGCAGCAGCACCAACCAGGCTGAGTGGAAGCAGCTGGCCCCGTCCTTCGCGGGTGCCCTGACCAACAGGCGTGCTACAAATGTAGAGAACAGATTGAACCCTTCGGGCAGCGTAAACTAATGTTTATCTAGGTTTAGGATCCAGATGGGGCTCGGTTCAAGATAGGTGTTCAGCTGGTCAGTGCTGTCAAAATCAGGTTTTTTTAAAACCTTGTGGCTTAGGAGCTTTTAATCACTAATAGTCAACTTTATTTATTTATTTATTTTTTAAAACTATCAAGGTTCAGGTTTCCTGGTTCCTGAGGTCCATTTTAGTAACTAAATTTTTTTTTTGTGGTGATGGGCCTCAGTGACAATAAGCATTATTTTTATCCAGGTTCCAAATTCAACTTGTTTCTCCTGAGACTGTTCCTGGAGGGCATTTGGAACTCAGAGGCAAACATCTAGAATAACCTAGTCCCACCTTTTTGGAGAATCTAAAGGAATTCAGATGATCTGGCTTCTTTATTTACAAAGTAGTCTCATTCATAGACCCATCTTTTCACTATTGAATTTCTTGGTTTGCGGTATTTCTATAGTATTCAGCTTAAGTGTTATTAGTGTCTTGTTTATTTTATATATTTATATATCCACATATTACCACCTAATGAACTTCAGAACAGGTCCAATTCTAAAAGATGTATTCAAGGAAGTTTTAACTCACTCCCAGCCATCAGGAAAGCAAATATAATTCAGTTCATGCCTATCAGTAAATAGCAGCTTGAAGTCAGTGTTGTGCAGAACATGCTATGCTTACCATCAGCAGCCCTTTATAAGCATAGACAATCCCAAGCCAAATTGTCATATGAGTGTTTTCACAGTGCTCCAAGATTGGTCGGATGGAGATATCTCTGCCCGCAGGGTCCGGCTGCAAAAATAAAAGGTGAAATATTTGGATTCAGATTTCATTTGTATGCACACCTCAGAGGTACGTAAATCTATTCTCAGTAGATTGAGAATGTGTAGAATACAGAGTGGACAACTTTAAAGGAACTTGTGATGACTGCAGAGACATGAACCTGCAAAGGAATACAGTGAAAAGCAAAGATCTGAGGAAACAACTACATGACAGCTACCAGCAGGGGAGGTCACCTCTACTGCAAACCAGAAAGAAAACGTCTGAAGTCACTCCGGCTTTAACAGTGTCAGTCACATTTATCAGCTTCAGGACATCTAATTTTTCTATAAGGCAAGCAGTTTGAATGCACAGGCATGAAAATGAACGTGCTTAAAGTCATCCCTCCTTTCACCTGCAGTTCTTGTGTCACTGGCAAATGGCTGATAAGCCACTCATCAAACACTGCTGTGTTTCAGGTGTTTTTTCATTGATAACCGTGAGCTAAATCAAAGACCATTTACTATGGAAGCTACATCAGTAGCTTAGAAGAGAGTAGAAATCATCAAAAATCTGGAAAAAAGGTCTTTTAGAGCATAGCGAACATCTATGTAAAATTTAATACTGCTGGAAGCTTTGTAGCTTTCCATTTATTTTGAAAAGGAAATTATATAAAAGTGCAGAATCAAGAGGGCTTGCAGACTACCAGAACTGTCTGTATGAGGGAAAAGTTATAATTAAGAGTCATAGAAACCTGCAAGAACAACCCCCAATCTCCCTTGCCTTTTTTTTTTTTTTTTTTTTTTTACAACAGGAAAAAACCCCACTTGACACAAAGAGAAAATGGGTACTAGCTATTATGCTGGTATGAATTTTGCTATGGATTTCAGTGGTCTCACAACATTAATCCACAGCTCAGTTTCTTCCATTTTTCTTTTTGTATTGCCCCGACCTCATACACTGTAAAAAGATAATGTAACAAATAAGGAGGTAGACATGGGGGAATGAAGAACCCCAAACAACCTTGCGCTATGCACTGCACAGGCAAAGAATCTGCAACTTTCTTTGCAAATCCTGCAGTAGGCAAGACATTAACATTTAAAACCTTTTCTTATCCTGGACTTCTACAGAAGCTCTGAACAGAAGAATAAAGATCTTTGAAAAAAAATGTCCTAAAATAAAATAAGATAAAAACCAACAAGGCAATATTAACTCTCCCAGAGAGCTTATGACTCTGCCCTAAGCGTTGCGGATGCCAAGCTGACAACCACGAGCTGAAGAGTTGAAATGACTGCAAACATTAGGTGGCATCACAACATTTAAAATGCTACAGATGTTTATCTGGGGATCAGTTAAACTACCTCATTCTCTCTCATCAATGCCGAAAGCCCAACACTAAAATTTAGGTGCACTGAAGGGAAAGTACCCTTTCATGTGAAAGTTACAACTTGCTATGTTCAGCATCATTTTTGACTAGTGTGAAGTAAAGTTCACATGACAAATCATTCAAATATAGCTCTGGATGTGTAACTGATGTATGAACAGGACAGTACTACAGAGATAGTTTGCTGAAATACTAAATTACACCTGAGCCTGCCATAAGGATTTTTTTTTCCATCTTTGAGTTACAGTATGCCAATAGTTGCATCCCTTATGGTCTGGAGTTATGGAAATTACATAAAATTTAAGCTTGTGGTCATCAGAATGTCTTGTCTTTTTTTTTTTCCCCCCACACTGGGGAATGAGCACAGGACCGTCTCTTTGTTTCCCCAGCTTATGTCCTTTCTGCCGTGTATTCCCTCTATTTCACTTTTGTACTTCTGCGAAACAAGACAGTTTGTAAATAATGCAGACTTCCACTTGGTGCAATGAATGTTGTCATGTGGTTTGTATCCCTGGACCGAAACCCCCACTCGCACTTAAACTGAAGCATTCCACCACTTTTAACCAACTGTGAGCAACTGGAATTCTTCCTTATTTTGAAGAATATTCCTGAAATGCAAACTCCTATTTGGTCAGTGGCAGATTATCTTTTTATTTTCACTACGTCGTTATTCTCCAATGCAAATTTCCTTCAAAATTGGAAAGCATATGTCCATTCTTTACTCAAAACTGAGAGACCCAAGCAGAAAAATGACAAAATGGAAAAAATAACTTGTTTTCAAATCCTCCTAGAGAGAAAGAAGTCGCATAGCTTCCTTAGTAGGATGATAGCCAGATTTTATAAGGCAGTGATAGTTTAAAAAATACGTTAATTAAATAAAGCAGTGTATTCAGATTTTCTATGTGAGATAAGAAGTTCTTGTGAAGTGCTCTAGAGGGAGCAGGAAAAGAGAGAATACTGATAGCAACACCAGCAAAAGTGTACATGGGGCAGCACTTCTTTCAAAGCACTTTCCAGATCTGCAAGGCTGTAGTATTTTCAACAAAATTTTGCTGAACACTTGTGCATGTGGAGTTAAGCATTGGCAGGTAGCAGTAATTTTACAGTGAACTGATTTTGCTGATTACTTATTGCTCCTGCAAAATGACATTCCTGTTTTACTGCTTTTAATTTGCCATTCTGTTTCTTCACTGATTTTGCATGAATTAACTAATCATAGCAAAAAGCTGGGTTAAAAAAACATATGATACTTTCTGATGTCAAAAGAATTTTAAAAAACTCTACAATTACAGCTGAATGGAGCACTTCACTGACCTCTCTAATCATGCACCATTTGTGCACTTTGTTACTGCTTTAGAGAGGATGACAACATAAATGCTACCAGTGATTATATACGTACTGGAAATTTGCCCTTTCCATTTATAGAAAACAATCTAAATGCCCTTCAGATGTCATTCTCAAAAGCCTGAAGACCTCCTATCTTGTGATTAGGATGAAGCTTTCCTACTTCTTCTGAAACCTAATAAGATTTCTGACACTGATATCAATTTCTGGAGTGTTTTCAGCAGTTGAACAAAAACAGTTTAATCTGTTTGCTTCATACAAGAGTTGTGTATCATCACCAGTAAAATGGCTGTTTCACGTGAGATCTGCTAGGTCTAGAAAGCGACCCAAATCCATAAACCTACGGAACGTTTACATCCCCTCTCTGTGCATGTTCAAATTATTATTAGTCACTTCCGTAGCTTTGTTGTCTTTCCATTTTCTTTGCTCTTTAGTCTGCTGGTGGGCTGGCAGGTCCTCATCATAACAGGTGAGCAATGGCTTAGGTGGGTACTGTTGGAGGGAGGGGTGAAGCTTAAAACCACCCAGAACCAGCAGGGAAATTTGCAGGAGAGACCAGGGCAGGAGCAATAGCAGGGACCGCTGAGTGTCTCCTGCCTTCCCCCCTCCTCGAGACAACCGAGCAGCTATGAGACTCTTATTATCTTGACTTCTTTTGTGTCTTTATTGCCATTCTTTTCTTTTTCTATAGCTCCACATAGCTCTTAAAAGGAGGAAGAGTCTATATTCCACAAGGAATTTCATACAGCAAGTGTCTCTGAAGAGCAGACTGGGCCACCACACAGTATCCAAAAGTCCTTGACTTTCCTACGGTACTTCTTCTATGTGGTCACCTCTTCAGGTCCCACTGCCGGTACAGCAGATGACCCTTATTTACAGAGTTATGGTGCTGCCATGTAACACAGCTCACGGGTGGACAATCTCAGCAAGCTTTCAAAGAAACTCCGCGGCAGATTTCCAGTGTGACGTTTTGCCATTTCTGCAGCTGCAGTTTCATCCGTGAGGAAATCAGAACGTTAGGCCTCAGGCTTTTCCAAAGATCGATATGAAACATAAGGTAAATGGTTGCAGCTTCTGTTTACTAGGTTTAAAATAAACCGTGCGGTTCCCATAATACAGAGAAATACAGGATCATACTCTTCTGTCACACTGTTAAAACGGTCTTCATAGACCATCCCACTCTCTGTTTTATCTTCCCTTTAAATGGCTTCCATCTAACTGGCATAAGGACTGTATGCTATCACTTGTCTCCAGCATGAATTAGACATCTCTGGCATTTTTAATTTGGCACATTTAACAGTCATACGGAGCCCAAATGTGATTCCTTATCTGAAAATCAGACTTTGCTAAATTAGATTATCCTCACTTCTTTTTAAATTCACTTCCCCCCCCCCGATAATTATAGTTAGTTTATACTATAAATTCTGTAAGAAATTAGGTTTAGTTGCATGTTGGAACAGGCCCTCCTTTGTTCTAAACTGCATATCTGTATGGAAAGGTGTTCCACAAAATTATTTAAACAGTTTTTGCATGCGGTGTATTTTAGCCAGGGTCCCAGTTACTGATGAAAAGAGAAAGAGAAAGATCAGAGGCTGTCTTCTGTTCACTTATTTAATAATTTGAGGGTATTTTTAGCGAAAAACAACTGTGATATGAAAAAGAGATTTGCCAGGAAATGGACGCCTTTTGTTTCATATATTTTCTACTTTGTGTAGAAAATATATCATATCTTCGACAACTGAAAAGTAGCAAATGCAATACTAAGCTGGGGTAGCTCACTTGAAATGTCTTCCAGTTAAAAATTTGGTAAGCAACCTAGAATAAAAGCTTGTTTGTCTTTGTGCATATCTGAGCTTGGGTTCAGCTACATTACAAATCACATCACTGTATGTTGCATTGTAGCTCAGCCAAGTACAAAACTGTTACTGGATTTTTGAAACAGTGACCAGTTTCATCTGTCTTCAAGATTAATTGAGAAGTTTGCTCATTTCTGTAATAGTCTAATGATCCAGGACAGTGATTGATTTAAAGAGTTTTTCTTCATGTATTTTTCTTTGATTCAGAGTCATGGGACAATCGGATCATGGAACAGAAAATCCGCTTTTAATAGCTCACGCACAGTACTATTTCATAGAGTAAGGAATGCTTTCCAGTATAGGAATGTAGGACTTTGTTAATAAAAGCAAGTTTTCAACTAAATATCTATCCTTACATCTGGCCACTCCATGACTCCTTCAAGAGAAATGAGAAACATAAATCTTCTGACCTCCAGAGAAGGTAAGGCTTTCTGAGCAGCCGCAACATC